CAAATGAAGAATACTGACCGGAAAGAACAGGAACGGCGGGATCATTCTGATGACAAACTGCGCACATATCGCCCATATTAGCCGCGTGGGCAACAAAATGATGACCAGAATGTCTAAAGTTACTAGTCACAGTACACATATTTACCCATATTTTCCACTTGACAAATAAAGAAAAAGAAGCCCAAACTTACACATCCGAAGCACTTTCTCTCATTCGCGATGAGCTTCTCTGGCGAGTTAAACCCTTCAACAATAATTTTATAGTCTCTTTCCTTTGAAGCGCCCGCTGTACATGATGATGCCAACCATCCACGTTGTCGTTTTCAGGATCATCTCCCTGAATATCCGCCATTAACCCCAAATAGCACCAATTACTTTAAAAATAAATAAAAGTTGAACTGAAGAATTCTAAAAGATGCCAACAAAGTCAGTTCCCTAAGCGACAAACCAAACACCGCGTTATAAAAAAGCCCAAGTTCTTCTCGACAAAAAGCCAAACTGCACCGGAAACGATGGCATATCTCGTTGTTCTTCTACAGCTGAAATGATGTCTTTCCAACTTTCTTCTGTTTTCCCCTCTCCTTTAGGAAGCAGCGACTGTAACCTGCCATATTTCTAAAAACATATAAAAGAGTTATTTCTTCAATCTGTACCAAATGATACCTATGCAGCTAACGACATTAAGTACGAACTTTGTACTTCTTTGCCAGGAAGAATAGGAGAAAGTATGAAACAGCAATAAGTGAAAAAAAAAGACAAGAAGGCTACTTCAAGTAGGTTTGAAAATCCATCCAGTGAGAGCAAAGCAGCTGAGCGATAACTGTTATCTAAAACGCGTCGTGGAGTCGATCCTGAAGAACTGAGCTCACTCATCGCCTCAAAATGCTCATCCTCTCTCTGCTGATTCTCAGCTTCGGCAATCTCTACAAAACGGGCATGAGTCGCTGAATTACAGTCAATACAACAATCATAAAACTATCTCCAACTCATAAATACTCTTTTAAAAAATAAATTATGGTGTGAAAAAATACAAAATTCAAAAAAAAATTTTTTTATAGCCTCAGATTTGAACTAGTTTTTTTTCAAAATCTCTCAACCAACCAATATCGTACGGAGCACCATGTGCGAGATAATCTTCACTGTAGTACGACCACAAGGAAATGCTGGCAACACATGCCTGGGGGCGCAATACAGAATGCAAGTCAGGCGCGTAGTAAAAATTGTTGAAAATTGGTGACCTAACAAGAAGGAAACTTTGCTAAAGAAATGCAACCAGGTAAACAATTGAAAAACGACCTAAATTATACTTCTCTCTTTTCTTCTCTATATACACCCAAACAGACGCGGCAA